ATTACTTCAGTAATGAATAATAATTAAAATTTAAATTAAATATGAAATGCATGCAATTAGTCGGTTTATCGGATCTTTCTACATTTTTGTCTTAAGGCACATTCGAAAGCAGAATGAAACTTTCGTTTCAATTCGTAGAAAATTTCCCGTTTTTTTTTTTTTGTTCTTACTCGTTATTACAAGAGAGTGTGCAAACTATTAGTTTCGTTAATGCGTTCGTTTAATTCGGTCGCAAGTGCAGAAAATGCAAAGTGTTTCATTAAATTTAGTCATTAAAAAACGTGATTTTATGTACAAAGTGTTAGAAAAGTAATGAATAATAATTAAAATTTAAATTAAATATGAAATGCATGCACTTAAATGAGTTTTTAAAGAGAAAACTTATATTTAATATTCGGAAGCTGAGTCGTTTGTAACAATTTAAGGTTTATCGTTAGGGTTGCCAACACTTACGATTAAAAGACAATCAAATGAAGAGCAAAAGCAATGATAATAATACGTGAGGATTGGGATAATTACTGATTAGAGTTAAAAGAAAGAAAGAAAAAGAATGGCTTGTCGTTGTTGTTATTGCTTTTAGTTACTATGAATGAATTAGAGCGCCTTTTTTGCATTTTTCAGTTGTGGTAAATGATGTAATAAAATGCCTAAAAATGTAACCAATTAGTTGTAGTTGTTAATAGAAAATTTATAGTATTCTAAACTAGTCCATTAGTAATAAATACATTTTACTAAGGTTGACGGGAAAAGGAATAATCGTAACAGAACATCAAAGCTTTGTGTTCATAATAATGTCCGCGCTTATGTGACGGCAAAGTGGATAATTGGATTAAAAATATAAAAGTTTATTTTCACCTATTTAATACAAGAGCAGTAGGATTTGATGACATTTGGAAGAAGGGTAAATCATACATTCATGTGATATCTGAATTTATTGTAATAATAATAAGTTCGGTTAATTCGGTTTGGTTAGATTTCGGTTCGGTTAATTCAATGTTTCGTAAATGAACTCGTAAATGAAAAAGTAAAACGTTTCGTTAAACATGAAAGTTAACGCTATGGGTCAGTAAAATAATTAAATTGTGAAAAATTAAAACGTAATATTATTAAAATCACATGTAAATATAGTATATAAACAATGACCGATTAAACGCAGCTAAGGGTGAGTTCTATATGATTTATTTTAATGTTAGATATCTATATATAAATCGAATAATTTTCTTAATAAATTAATGCAATAAAAAGTAAAAACGCTATAGTGGGCCGTATCCTACTATGAAAAACCCTACACTGTACTAAAGTTGTTTCACGACTTTACAAATTAAGGCGGTATATCGGATCTGGATGAAAAAGCAGTCCGTTCCGAATTGTTTTCAACCGCGTTCCTTCTTGGGCCAAACGCGTCAGTTTACCAAATCTCTTCAAAATAGCACAAAAATTGTCGGCTGAAGATTGAACAGGATTAAACAGACGGACAAAAGGGGAGACTCGACGTAATAGAAGATGGGTCGATAGATGTGTGTATCGCATACATTCACAAACACATAACAACTTGTACCAGGTGTAGGGTCTAATAAAGAATATTATTATTATTTGAAAATGATGAAACTATCATGTAAGAAATTGCCCGAAAAGTTTTAAAACATTTTTATTTTAAATTAAAGATTTGAAGCTTTTAATAATGGTATATAAATCTGCGACAAAAACGTAAAAAAAAAATATTGCTGACGAAATGTTAAAATTATTTCTATATTTTAAAGTTTACCATCTAAGTGTACATAATACGGCATATAATATTTACATTAATCAAGTAAATTGTGATGCCTTACGAAGAGTGTACGTATATGCGTCAACATTTCTCTTAAAGGTAGGGAAAATCAAATAAATATATTGGTAGTTATTGTGCGTCCGGCTTTGTTAATCTTGGCAGATTTTAAAATACTGATGTGTTATGAAACATCATATTGCTTCGAATTTTCTTGTAAATCAAATAGAAAGTGAAAAAATATTGTTTTGGGGATAACCCGAAACAGTTACACCTAATCCCAAATAGCTACACACATCTACATCAAATTGAACTCTTCAACAAAAAATTTCTCTGAAAAACTTACTGCTAAGAAAAATTTAATTTAAAATGTAAGTCACCGCCTATGGCCATCAATGTAGAAGATTAATAGGAAAAAATGGCTAAGTCGGTAATAAATGACAAGAGTGAGATTTGGGCATAGGTTCAGAGAACGAAAGAATATAAAAAAAAAAGGGTAAGAAAAACTTCTGCATGTGCCTCTGCTATATTTAAAAATCTAAAGCCCAGCAAGCAATAACAAGCTAGGAACTTCTACTACTAGCAGTTTAAATATTGTTTTGCTTTCCGTCTAACGAGTTAGCTAAAGCCCAAAAACAAAAAATTTTAAAAAAATCTTTCGCCGAATGTAACCATGTCTTACATCTCCAGTAATAGATCATGTGTAACTATTTTGGCGGCAAAGTGATAAGACATTTTTGTTCGCTAACAAATGTTCACCAAGTTGAATAAAAGAAAAAGGAATCATTTCTCTGATCCGGTATCTATAGATTTCTGGCTTTAACTTATCTATAAAATGGTTTACCGCTTCAGCTACTTGCTCGGTATTTAAAAAAAGTGCCGCGTGAAAAATCCCTTAAACATAAATCGTTTAAAAAAAAGCATTTGTGAGAAAAAGAAAAGCTTCAATACGTCATTGTTTCAGAGTTAATGTTGGCTTATTTAGTAAATGATCGCCAGATTATTAATAATAGTAAACTTACCGACACCTGCGACATGGATTTTCTTCATCCATGGATAAATAATTCTTTCGCCATCTGTTGTTTCTCCCATCATATCATCTTCTGTGTCTGAATCTCCTAAATCGTCATCTAAGCCGTTTGATGCTAATTCATCCGGTGAATGGTCTAACATCAAACGATCCTCATCTAACATATCATCCTAAAATTAACAAATTTTTCCAATGATCTGATGATTTTTTAGCATGCTCTAGTCCCACTCACATTCTCTGATCCCGTATCTTCACATCGCAGTCGCATACCTAATTCTTGTAATTGTTGTCCGGCAGGTACAGCTTCTTCAATACGTTTTTCCAATTTTAGACCTAAAACAAAAAAGAAACAAGTTTTGTTATACAAATAATTAACTTCCCATTGACTATTTTATTAATTGTTTTTAAATAAATAAAAATCAAATTTGTGGCAGGGCTTAGGCTGTTTTTGTATGGAAATATATAAAATTTATTAAGTCTTCCTACGGTATGAATATCACACAATTACAACTATGACGTTTCGAAATCTTTTAGATTCACAGAGATGATCTAAAATCTTTGCTTGCAATGTGATTCACTTGTAAAATAAAAAAACCTGACAATGGGTTACCCACCACCTACTCGGTCACTCAGGCGCATCTGTGTGCGTGTAAGCGAATACTATTATATTAACCAGACATAGCCGCCGTGCACATGGCGACGTATTGAACTGTGTTGCAGCATATTTCCAATTCGATATCTCTAGAGGCGTCTTGGCTTTAAATAAGATGTCGGTATTAAAAAGTTCATCCTAACCTTCATGCCTTCCTTTTTTTCTCTTTTTGTTTATTATTTACTTCATTGTTTGCTTTTCTTTTGCCAAAATTCCAAACACGCAAAATATTAACGATTTTTTCGCAATGAAAGCGAAAAGTGATACTAAAAGAAAGCCGGTATGTGAGTCTACATGCAATCATAAATATCCATTAGTATTAAAAAAAAAAAAATAAATAAATTTTTCGGTTCAACAATCAGTTGAGCGGAATGTTATCTACTTTTCGCCGAACTATGATTACTCTATGTATTTGAGAATATATATAAAAATAACATTTTTCTAATCAGGAGTAAATCAAGTTGTCACTTTGCGGTTATTGAGAAGATTTACTAATAGTTCGTATATACATTATTATATTTTCCTGTATCGAGCGACTATAGAAATAAGGGCGAGCTAGTTGCTCTTTCCGTATGTAAAGTATAGATATTGAGATGACTTACGAAAAGCCAAAGGTTTTGAATAAATTTCTGAAAGTTGTATTTAACCTAATAGGTTAATTGTATCATTAGTTGGAAGAATTAGAGAAAGGAAAGCTATAACTTTTTAGTAATCCACTATCTATAGCAGATATAGACTCAAAATTAATATGATCCACTAAAGTAATAAACTCCACTGGCTTACTTCGCAAGGTTTAGGTTACGTTAATTTTCGTTTCATCAAAGTAACCTACGAAAAAACCCCAAAGCAAGATGCATCTTGCGATTTCGTTTGAGTTGCATTTATCTTAGAGAGTCAATCTTTTACTTAAATATTTCACCATTGGGTTCATTCAACACTTTTCGATCGAGTCATTTTATGTGTTCACTAGGTGAACGGAAAGATTACGAAGTATATTTCTTCTCTCCTGCCTTCATAGCGAATAGGTTTTATATATTTGCGGACTTTCGCACAACTCTACACTTGACTAAAGGTAGGTTTACCTAGTCCCTTTTATGCTTCGCCTTCTAAATAGTATTGAAATACAACGATATGTGTTCAAGTATGTCCAAAATTCTGCATTACACTAAATTCTGCTAATATTCCTGTTGAAGAAAGTTTTCCAAAAAATTGTTCCAAAATTAGCCTAACGTATTGGAATACTGTTTTTCACGCTTAACATCATTACTGTTATTTACATAAGAATTGCTGGCCTTAAGAAGAACCTTAAAAACTTTTGCTGTAATGGGGTTACCATAATGGGACTCTCGAGAAAACTTCAGGACGACTCCGAAATACTTATTAAGACAGATGTCAGGAAGGCCTGCCGAGGTGTTCGTCATAAACTAAAATATTCTCTCTTTTTGGAATTTTAAAAATTGTTTCAACTGCGGGCAGGCTTTTGCGTACACTAAATAAACCCTTCACAACACGCGCATCAAAAATTACTAAAAAACATTAAATAATGAGAAAAACAAAAAAGACGAAGAAAGAATGCGAAATTAATCAAGTTTAAGTGTAAGGAGAGACGGATAATAGGATTTGAAATCAAAAGCAAGCAAATATGTGATGATCATGCTTGGATCTGCGTTACTTTTGCATATATTGTACCTAATTCTTGTAATCCCAATGCCGTGTTAGAGGGCGGTTCAGTTGAGGAACAATGAAGTGGAATATCCATCATGTGAGAATGTGGGGAATGGGCCTGCGAATGGGTACTACCAACGCTGCCACCCGATCCATAATAACCACTGTAATATACATTAGAGGCAGTCGGTGTACCATTACCAGAAGGCGAAGTTAATGGTGCGGCATAGGCCGTACTTGAACCAAGCGTAACCGCCGGATCAGAATGAACAGCTCCGGCTGGTATATATTCGGGAGCATGATGCACAGCTGCCGCTGCTGCTGCGGCGGCCGCATGATGACTCTAATATCCAAGGCCTTGATGATGGCTAGGATTTGAAGCGACATAGTTGGTATAGTTCGTATTCTGAGGATGACCAGAAAGACCACTATTGCTATGGTGATGATGATGATGGTGATGTGTATGCGGATGGTGTGAATGACTGACCGAGCTATGATGATGAGCTGCTGCTGCCATATAATCGTTAACCATATCCGCTGTATGCGTAGGATGAGCATGCGACGGCATTCCATCTATCGCACTACTACTGCCAGACATCATATGCCCTGTGCTAGCAGTCATCGAGTAATGGTTATTATATTGATGATAATCATCGGCTACTGGCGGAAATTTCGGATCTAATCCACTATTCATACTCATAGAGCTTTGAACATGATGCGAAGAATGAGGATGATATCCCATTAGAAATGAACTCATATTTATATGCGATCGTTTCTTAAATTTTAAATATTTACACTTATTGCTGTTTTCTAACCTCTTTTTTTTATTTGCGAAACTTTAAATAATCGCTTTCAATTTAATTTTATTTATATATAAACACTTTTCTTTTTTCCATTTATTCTTAATTTATTTGCTCATGTTAAATATTTGCTTCCAAGATTTCATATATTTTTAGTCGAATTTTTTTTTATTTTTGTTTTACAAAACAAAAAGTATGAAACTTTTTCACATACATAAATAAATACTAAAATTTGTTGTGTTGTGTTTTTTTTTTTTTGTTACATTTCTTCAATAGAAGCAGAAAGTACGCAAAGAGAACCGAAAACACGCTCGAATTTCACGCGGATGGATTTACGCCGCCGACAAAAAATTCTAAATTGAGTTAATTCATAGTTGCACAATTATCGTTAAACACTTGCCCATGCATTTATGTACAACAACACATTAATTAGACATTTCACGTTTTCATAAATCGTTACGATCCGTTCGTTCTGTTCGTGACAAGACGTTCTTTTGTTATGTGCGAGAGCTAAAAAACACTAGCTAGCGAACCTGTTCGCTTCGCACGCATTCGCACAGTTATTCGCTCGCATACACGACCTAACAAACGGTGTGTGCTTCTCATTTCAAGAAAAATATAATAAAAATAAAACCCCTAGTCATCCATTTAACCAGTCACAGTATGCTAGTCGCTCATTCTCTGCCATTGAAGGCAACAATGCAATGCGGGATTGCATCAGTAGTAGTGGGAACAGCAAGAACAATCTTACAAAATTTTATTGATTTCATTGGTATTTTTTTTTTTTACTTTCTTTGTTGTCTTATTATTTTCAAATCTTGATTTACTGGTTTTAGTATTAATCCCATAGTTTAGATGGAAAAAGGTAGTTCCCTGCCGTCTGTGTTTGTAGTTAAAATGAGCGTTGTATACATACCCATCTAAACATATTTAATGTATGTGCTGTCGTGTGTGTGGTTAAGCACGTTCGAAATATTGTAGCTCTCTTTCATCTCGAACCATTAATTTTTAGCATTCGAACTAAGCCACCATATTGCAAACCATTGCTGAGTACATATTCCTGTATATTGAAGTGAGATAAGAATACTAAGAGATTGAAAGAGAGAAAAGTTGAGAGTAAACACACCCCTCCTTTAAAGTTATATGAAAGTTTCCTTTAATCTCTTACAATTTTACAGTGAAGTCGCCATCACAGAGATATGCTAATCATTTAACATATAAATAATTGTTTCAATAATGATTTTGAGTAAACTTTTAAAATACTTTGTATACACTTTTCACCTGATTGAGAAAATAGTATTAAAAACTCGATAATTCATTGTCCAAAAATGTGCATTAAGTGCTTGAATTTATGTTCATCATGTCTTCACTAGAAAAAGGCGTTTGTTGAGAAAAATCGGTGCAGTCTATATTAATCAAAATATTTTCCTAATACAATCTTTCCCCATCTTTCCGGGAGCATAGCGGTGGCCTGTCGAAAGAATGACATTGGTTTGACAGCGATCCAATAATCGATCCATATTCCCACTTCTTCAGCATTTCGGAACAGTGTACTCGCTAAACTGTGCTGCATTGATATAAACGAATGGTAATCAGAAGCCGTTTTGCCCAGAGCGGCAGAGCTTTCCATTCAAGGTGCAACAGTGTATCTTTGACAGCACTTGCAACAAGTGATTGCCATACCAGAGAATGACTTTTCGTCTATTAACCACTAATGCTAGTCTCTTTTGCAACAACGCATCGTGCAATTTGGTTAATTGACGTCGATAGACATCTGCAGTAACAATTTCGTCCGGTTTTAGTAGCTTTTAATATCTTGCTGATCCCACAATATTTTGTTGTTTTAGGTAGAGAAAGGTCAAAATCATCGAATCAAAACCTTGATACTTTGCATTGTTTTATCATTTTAATCAACAGATATCGCTGATCGAACAGTGAGTCCTAATTGTTTGAATTGTATTAGAAGCTTTTAAGAACTCTTAGGTTAAAAATATAGCGAGGCTCGATATCTTTCTTGAGCAAAGAAATTAAATTCTTATTGAATGCTTTCAATTTACTCAATCCTAATCTCCAAGCACAGGTTGTTGTTCTGATAGTAATACACAGACAACTTTACATTTCGTTTCTTTTACATTGATTTTTTTAATATGAAATCGATTTTTTTAAAGAAATTTCGAAAACCTGAAACCGGCTGCTGCTTGAAGAGTATAAATCTGTATTGAAAGTTGTTCCACTCAAGTTCGCTTTACTGTACAAGTGTTTGTAAGAGATTATTGACTTCAAAGTGTGAAAACAACAGTACAGAAGTGCGCGCATGAACGTCCATAGATATATCATGTTTGACATCAGACCGCCTATTTTCAATATTTTGTTTTATTTATTCAAGCAAGAAAGTGATGTAAGGAGGGAGTCGTGCTTGCTTTCACATCTTTTGCTGTTTTTGTTTTCCTTCTTCTTTTTTTTTTTTTTTCTTTATTTGTTTGTCTCGCGGAAAGCTTCTTTAGGTAAATAAAAGCACTATGATTATAAAGTAAAAGAAAAGTATATGGATGTAGAAAAAATGATTTGATCGATCTTAGTATTCAACGCGATTTACTCTTCCTTTCTTTTCACTGCGAGTCTTTAGGAAATTTGTGCTCGCACATAATTGCAGGTTGCCGCTTAAACTACTACTACTGTTGAGTAATGAAACGAATAAAAAGCAAACTTTACGCTGCAGACATTTTGCTGACTTGCATTATTAATATTTATTTTTCTTCTTCTGGTTAATAACACCAGTAACACATGTTACTTTTTGCTATACGTATATAACACATACGCACGGATCTGTTATTATTTGTACTTAAAAAGTTGCTTTTTTTTCGTGTACATACGTGCACATGTAGTAATTGGTTTAATTGTTTGCGCATCAATTGTTTTTCGCTCTGTAATGACGTGCATTATTTTATTATCATCCTATTTAAAATTTAATATTTTTATATCGGATATATTCGGACTATGCGGCCTTTATATAAAATGGATAAATAATTTCATATAATCAATGGTTTCTTTATTATCTTATAGTAAACTTTCTGGTCATGCTTTAAAGTTTACTTTTACTAAATATAACTTACATTGAAAGAAATTTATTCATTATAAAAAATTAATATATAAAATTAATTATATATAAAAATTTTTATCTATATACATATATATTATGTATAAAAATAGACGATTTGAAGAGACTTCGATCTGCCAAATTTATTATGCGAGTATGGGAAGCAGGAAAAGCTTTTTTATTTGCTCGTCTCTTCCCAATAAATGCCAAATAAGTTTGGCCTGATTTCGCAGCGAGTGGACTTAGCCATCTTCCTTCTTCGATAGAATGAGGTGCTCGACCCATCTAATGCGATAAAAAAAAACGTATATGTATAGCATTTCCTTCTCAAGAAATCCGTCTTACTCTTGAAATATTATAAAACGCTTTACATGTCATCACTTTAATGCGGACGAAATGCGAGCAGAAATGTGCACACAAAAAAGCGACTAAAGCGAAAGAAAAACGTTCACCTTTTTAACGCAACAACTAGTTCACGTGGGATTACCGACTTTAACATTGAACAGTTTCCCTATATGTAAAGACATTGTGTGGGCTTTGTGGAAACCACCTCTCCCCTATTTTTCTGTCCGCAATTATAAGTGTACGCTTAAATATGTGTGCTTGTCCTATATATATACAAATTAAGTTCAGTTAGTATGAAAAAAAATCTCCAGAAATATCTCCGCAGAAACCACTTTTCACATGCCTTTTTACATTTATTAAATTTCATGAGATTCTAGCAAAAATTTGGTTAAGAAATTCCTTTGAAAACACATTCGTGTTCAGAGGGAAGCGTCGAACCATTGGAAAAAATTCTACTTATTTTACTGGAAAATGTTATTATTGTGAAGACACAATTGCAATATGAAGTTGTTGGCTGGTTAAAAATACCCGAAATCAGGTCAGGTAGAAGGTGTAGTTTCGAGAAAGAGGCGATTGAAGTTCTAAGTCTTCTTTCATAACAGTCCTGGCAAATGCAGATTCTTTTAAAAATATCCTTCTACTAGAGAGACAACTGTTAGTTACCATTCGAGGGAATAAATTAATTAGTCATTAATAGTGAATTACCAAGAGTCAAACTTGAGCGAGTCCATCCGCATAGTAAACTTTTTGAGCCACATAAAAAATCTCTTTTGCAATAAAGCTTTTTAAATACGCCTCTTGAATATTTCACGAACTATTTAGGATGAAGAGAAGAGAGCTTACAAGGTAGCCTCGTTCTTTCAGAGGTTGATCCGCCTGGGATTTCGTCTAAGAACTCAATGGTCTTGATTCAAATTTCAAGTGCAGTAGAGTTCTCACTAAAACTTAGATGCTAATGCTAGAAGTTTTCAATCTTAGAATTTATTTCTCTGACTAACTTAATAATAACAATAATTATAGTAAGAGAGAACCAGATATTAAGCTAAAACTTTTACAAAATACATTGAATTCATTAAACAATAGTGCCTATGAAAGAAGCCGTCAGTGTGACGAGTTCGGAAACGCCCGATGAACATCTTTAGGACGGAAAGTATGGAAGGAACCAAAAGTTTTTTATTATTGTTTAGAGTCAACTAATTTGCTCCCATAAAAAATTGCTTTAGCTTTCCGTAAGAATAGCTTAAATAAAGTTGAGATAGACGTTAGACAAAGCTAGTCCGCTGCTTAAAAACCTGTCAAATATTAACATACATTTATATATAGTCAGTAGAATTTATCTATTAGTATTTGATAGCATCAAGTAAGGAATGACGTGAGGAGGGGCGTGGGGCTATTTATAAATTCATTTATTTTTTTTAACACCATGAGTGAGTCTCAGGAGATGTACGCGTACATACATGGCGAGCTAAATTGAGAATGTAGTAAAGCTAGAAAGACAGAGTGTGAGGTCAGTTT